AAAGTGAAGTTTTGGGGATGGTTTTGGGGAGAGTGCGGCACTGGGGTGTGCTAAAGCAGGGGTGTAGGCATGGTTTTGGGGGGAGTGGGGTGCTGGGAGTTGCTAAGGTAAGCTTGTGGGGATGGTTTTGGGGTGAGTGCGGCACTGGGGATTGCTAAAGTGAAGTTTTGGGGATGGTTTTGGGGGGAGCGCAGCGCTGGGAGTTGGGAAAAGTGAAGTTTTGGGGATGGTTTTGGGGGGAGCGCGGAGCTGGGGTGTGCTAATGCAGGGCTGTGGATGTGATTTTGGGGGCAGCAGGGTGCCGGGAGTTACTGAATTAAGCTTGTGGGCATGGTTTTGGGGGGAGGGCGGCACTGGGGATTGCTAAAGTGAAGTTTTGGGGATGGTTTTGGGGGGAGCGCGGAGCTGGGGTGTGCTAATGCAGGGCTGTGGATGTGATTTTGGGGGCAGCAGGGTGCCGGGAGTTACTGAATTAAGCTTGTGGGCATGGTTTTGGGGGGAGGGCGGCACTGGGGATTGCTAAAGTGAAGTTTTGGGGATGGTTTTGGGGAGAGCGCGGCGCTGGGGTGTGCTAATGCAGGGCTGTGGATGTGATTTTGGGGGCAGCAGGGTGCCGGGAGTTACTGAATTAAGCTTGTGGGGATGGTTTTGGGGGGAGGGCGGCACTGGGGATTGCTAAAGTGAAGTTTTGGGGATGGTTTTGGGGGGAGCGCGATGCTGGGAGTTGGGAAATAGACGGGGTGAGCATGGGGATGGGGAGAGAACGGTGTCGGGGTACGCCGGAGAAAGGCGATGTCTGTGATTTTGGGGAGAGTGTGGTCCCGGGAATTGTTAAAGTGAAGTTTTGGGGATGGTTTTGGGGAGAACGTGGCGCTGGGAGTTGGGAAAAGTGAAGTTTTGGGGATGGTTTTGGGGAGAGTGCGGCACTGGGGTGTGCTAAAGCAGGGGTGTAGGCATGGTTTTGGGGGGAGTGGGGTGCTGGGAGTTGCTAAGGTAAGCTTGTGGGGATGGTTTTGGGGGGAGGGCGGCACTGGGGATTGCTAAAGTGAAGTTTTGGGGATGGTTTTGGGGGGAGCACAGCGCTAGGAGTTGGGAAAAGTGAAGTTTTGGGGATGGTTTTGGGGAGAGCGCGGCGCTGGGGTGTGCTAATGCAGGGCTGTGGATGGGATTTTGGCAGCAGCAGGGTGCCGGGAGTTGCTAAGGTAAGCTTGTGGGGATGGTTTTGGGGTGAGTGCGCCACTGGGGATTGCTAAAGTGAAGTTTGGGAGATGGTTTTGGGGAGAGCACAGCAGTGGGGTGTGCTAATGCAGGGTTGCGGACGTGCTTTTGGGGGGAGCGGAGTGCTGGGAATTGCTAAAGTGCAGTTTTGGGGATGCTTTTGGGGAAAGCGTGGCACTGGGATGTGCTAAATCGGGGTTGTGGATGCGCTTTTGGGGGGAGCGGGGTGCTGGGAGCTGGGAATGGAAGGGTGTAGGTACGGGGATGGGGAGAGAACAGGGCTGGGGCTCACCGACGTAAGGTGATGGCTGGGATTTTGGGGAGAGTGCAGTACTGGGAATTGCGAAAGTGAAGTTTTGGGGAGAGCGCAGTGCTGGGAATTGCTGTGGACGCGCTTTTTGGGGTGACCCTGTCCTTGGAAAGCCCTCGGGGTGAGGGGGACACCTGAAGGCTGGGGCCAAGGGTGGCAACGCCGGGGGCTGCCCGGGAGCTGGAGGAGAGGAGACCTGCAGGGAGGGTGACACCTTTATCCCCGTCCCTGCTGCTTCCCAGTGCCCGAGAGCAGCCCAGAGAGCTGCAGGTCTCTTTTTATTTATTTTTTTTTTTGTGTGGTTGACTAAATAGAAAAATCGGCTCCGTCTTCTGCCCCTGGTGCCGCCAAAGCGCTTGGCTGAGTCTCCGCCTGGGGCCCGCCGGTTCCTGCTATTCCCGGGGGGGGGGGCTGGATGCGGCCCCTTCTCGCCAGGGTCACCCTCCAAGGAGAAGCAATTTCAGGTTGGATTTTGGGAAACGGCTGGAACGTCCTTAGAGAAGGGGCTTGGAAGGGACAAATGATGCTCGGGGATGATGCGGGGATGCTCGGGTGCTGCTTCGGTTTACGCGCCACGGATGGAGAAAAGAAAGCAGGGCGGCAGGGAGAGGATCCGGCTCGGGGAAGTGCAGGCGGGGAGATGATGGGAAGCAATCCGCTGGAAAGTAGAGGTGATGGGGAGCATATCAGAGGGGCGAAAAAAAGGTCGTGGGGAAATCCTGTCGCTGGCAAGGGAAAGGAAAACATCAAGAGCTCCAGGTTGAATCCTACAGAAATCTCAAAAGCTGCCAGAGGACAGCTGCTTTCCTAATTTTTATCCTCCCTTTTTTTTTTTCCCCCCCCTATTTCCCTCCTCCCAGCCCCGTAAGGGAAAGCAGGAGCTGGAAGCTGAGCGCAGCACGCCTCGGCTGTTCCTGTGGGCGCGTGACGGCCGTGACAGATGGCCCTTCCGATGGCAGGGTGAGGAGCTGCGAGGTCCTTTCCCGGCACCTGGGAACCGGCTGGGGGGGGGGGCC